CAGATTGACACTTTTTCTGTACAAGCTCGTCCATCTATTAACCGAGCGTATGTTGCTTTTTTTCCTTCATCGACTCGACCATCTATTGGCAGAGCGCCTTAATATAACCATTGTTTGCTAAAACAGTCACAATTAAATAGTGAAGCCTAGCGGATAAAGCGTGTCAACATAAACCAAAGAAGTTGCGGTTTGGATTTTTTTTCTTCAAAATGTGACATTTTGGTGTTTTATTTTCAATATTGTGTCAGGTTGGTAAAAAAATTCTCTTTCCTAACCCAAAAAAATTTCCTAACCCAACAAAAGCAAGGGAAAGGATTTGCTGACTTTTGGGCGGGAAAGGTACGTACCTTTCACTTATTCTCACCCCTTAGATTAAATAATTGGTTTGGATCATATTTAACATTATGTTTTATTTTAAAGTAATATTTAATTGGCTTAATTATAGTTTTGTCTTCCTATTTTATCTGATTCACGGAATTAGTCTCCCTATTTAAATTCAAACAGTTTTAGTCGTCATATTTTAAATTCAAACAATTTTAGTCTTCCGCTCATGTTTTTCATAGAAAATTGATAAGATTTTTTGTTTTTTAACTTATATTTTTATCTACAAAGTTCAATAATAGGTTTATTTACAATGGTTTGTCATACTTTACAAGTAAATTGTCGTTTAAAAAGTGAAAACATCGTTAATTTTAAGTGAAAACGTATGAGAGGGGGACCAATACTGTTTAAATCTAAAATAGGGAGACCAAAACTGTTTAAATTTAAAATAGGGGAACCAATTTCATAAGTTAGAGAAAATAGAGAATCAAAACTGTAATTAAACCTATTTAATACCAAAACAATTTTAAGGTACTAAAAATATCCATTTTACTTTACACTTTTTTTAAGGAAGAGAAAACAAAATAGTGTGAACTTTTTCCTTTTTTCAACATTGAATCAGACCACCGTGTGACCTGTTTGCCGTCGTCAGTTCACCGTCATTGTGGTTGTCACCTATCTCTCCTTGAGTTTGTTGATTTTTTTTCATTTATATATTTGAACTCTATTGTTGTGCAAAATAATAAAATTTGGGATTTGATTAAAATTATAGTTTAAGAAATGTTCTTGGACCATGAAAATAAGAAATTTTTCTAACAAAAAATAACTTGAACTTGTTAGCTCTTTAATTTGGTTTGATTTGATTTGATTGTGAGTATGAGATAAAATGGTAGAAAGCTTTTATTATCCCATGTTATATCTAATAACAGAGTTATGGGCTTTTCATTTTTGTTAAATAGAAATATTTTTACTAAACAATAGAGATTAGAAAATTTCCTTATTCTATGGGACTTATGTTTTTATGCTAAATAATGGAAATTAGAAGAATTTGTGTTTTAGATTGATCAATAATTGAAGTATATGTTTAATTGAAATTTCTAAATATATTTCATTCATTTAATTATTTTACTCAATTGTTATTTGAATAGTTTGAACAATCATGACATCTTCAAGTGTTGATTGGAAGCCAATGATCGAAATGGAATTTGATGATATAGAAGATACTTATTAACTTTGGCTTGCAGACATGCTGACTTTGAAGTTATGAAACTTTATGCAAGTAAGAATAAGGATGAGACTATATATATATCTTCGTATAGATATGTTTGTTTGTTCTAAGGAAGGGTCACGAAAGATAAAGAAAACAAATACTTTTGTTAGTACTCCCAAAGCTGAGACTAGGACAGATTGTAAAATAAGAATTTCACTTGGTTGTAAGAATGAAAAATTTGGCATCAATGAATTTGTAGAGGATCACAATTATTCTCTACAATTTCCAGAGACAACACACATAGAAAAATAATCGAAGTACAAGCAAATGAGGCAAAATCAATAAAAATTGAAACGGAGAGATTAAAAGACAGCGGCGGAAAATCAATGCAATGAAAAAATGTGGCAGCATGAAGAATTGTTGAAAGATAACTAGAGTTGGCGGTGGTTTTATTTTTGTGGGTAGAGGAAGGAGGAGAATTGAGAAGGAGAAGAATTGGGAAATAAAAGTGGGAAGAGAAGAATGAGAAACGCAATGGATTTGAGATCGAGTCAATAAAGGTCGTTTAAGGTTATTATTACACATTGATTAAGAAAAGCAATGATTGAATCATTAAAAATTATATTTTTACAAAATTACCTTTAACTATTATTGATTGTTATATATTGTCATAACTTAAAAAGAGTGTGACAATGAGTAAAGTTGATAAATATTAAAAAATTAGTAAAAGTTAATCAATGTTACATTGAAAAAGTAAAGAGAATATTATTTTAAGACAATTTTTTATGATTAGAAAAACAATTATTTTAAGATAGAGAGAGTATTATTTTAAGAAAAAATTAACACGTGCTCTTAAGACACAAATTAATAAATAATTTGTAGAAATATTATCTTAAAATATGCGCATTCAATATATTAAATATTTAATTATGATTTTATTATTTTTACCAACTTTCTTTGTACGTTTTCTTTTAGGACACGTCTTAGCGTGATTCTTATTTTTATCAAGTTTCTTTGTACGTTTCGCATTAGATGAAATCTCTCACCGAAATGTAATAATCAGTAGCATATTTTGGTACAACAAAAAGCACACAACTCATTCATCTTTTGAAGTTCCTTTCTCAAAGGCAGTGAAGGCTGAAGCACTTGTCTTGTCTTTCTCACATGTTTTATCAAATCGCAGAAAGCAAAGCACCTGTAATCTACAACCTCTTGTGCATGTGGAGTAGTAGTATAGAAAACATATTGAAGGCTATATAGACAGATATAGGTGCAATTTTGTGTTCTAGTTTATTGAAAATTAATTATAAATGAGTGTTTCAAAATGATAAGATAATGGAAGTGATTAAATGTTTACAATTGTATGAGAAATAGTCTTATATCGGAAGATTCACTCACTTTAAATGTCTTTATAAATGAGTTAAAAATATCAACTTTATAAAAGGACAAAAGAGGATAAAGTGTCACATTGACAAGTGTGGCGGTCTCAAGGATTACCCCACTTGTCTCAATCCTACAATCCCTCGTCGGCACCAATTCAATACTCTTTTTTACATTTTTTATATGATACATTATCTTCTCTTTATTTCATCTAATAATTCAATATTCATTACAATAGTTTTATATTTTTATTTAATAAAATTTAACATTCTATTCCACCACTTTTATTTTATATTTTTATTTTTTTAAATATTTTTTTATAATTTTATATTTAATTGAAATGAAATTAAAATAATTAAAAGTTAAATAATTTATTTTAATTTAATAATTTTTTTGAATTTTTTTCTTCTAATTTTATATTTTTAATTTATTTAAATTTTTTCTAATTTATAAGAATAGTCATTATTAAAACAGATAAAAATGGATAAAACAGTTAGAGATTAAATAGAAAAGATAGAGAGAAAAATGAATTTTTTGTTTGTCCAAATCAATTGAACTAAATCTCTATTTTAAAAAAAAAATGATTTTTTTTTGAAAATAAAAGTAAATAAAAAATTGATTTATTATAAAATAATTGATTCTAAATAATTAAGGTGAATTAAATATTTAAACAATCACAACAATCAATAAGATTTTGTAAAGTATTATATGTGTATTCAATATGATAATATTTTCAACACCAATTAATTTACTTCATTTTCAATCATTTATTCAACACCTCATTGCATTTAGTTAACTATTGAATAATTTTTTCAACTCTCAATTATACATAATCTAATGAATTGTAAAAGTATTGAATAATTTTTTCAACTCCCAATTATACATAGTCTAATGGATTGTAAAAGTATTGAATAATTTTTTCAACTCCAATTATACATAGTCTAATGGGTTGTAAAAGTATTGAATAATTTTTTCAACTCCCAATTATACATCTAATGGGCTGTAACAGTATTCTCCGTTTACATGCAGGGATACTTGAAGTTGTCTGAGTTGTAGTTGAAGTTGCAGACATTAAAAACTAGATGGCGTATAGCACAAGGTATATATGTTTCTGGTTTCTACTAACTGCTCTCACTCATAGACACGCTTTCTATACCTGCCTCATTCTCTGCTCTACTAAAACTCTACACAACCTGTAATTAGTAGCACACTATTACTTTCATTGCATGCATATTTATTTCTCCTATTCAAACTCAAATTAATTAATAGTACATCTTTTGCTCCATTGTCAAATTATCTTTAAAATCAGTTTAGTGTGGAAAAACAAGTTAAAAATAAGTATAAGTGTTTAGTCTATAAATATATATATAGAACTACATCAGCCATCAACATATCATAAAATCATAAAATGTAAGTGATGTAATCTTTTTTTAAACTAATTAAGACGAAATCGTAGACTTTTGTAACACTTGAAAAAAGTATAAATGTTTAAATGTATTAGTGTCGTCAGTGTCAGTGTCCGAAACCAATATTATTATTAGTATAACGTTTAATTTATTCATTTTTTAAAATTATTATTCGTGTCAACTTGAAAGGGATATTACACCTGATTGTTCTTATTGTGTTTTGTAACTATCCCATATAATTGATGAACCTTACCTTCACTTATATTGCATGTATCATTTTCATCTTTATATCACTAGTTCCCAATATCCCATCCAAAATCCAATACCACTGACATTACCATTTGTCCAATTGTTTTATGCATTGTATTCTACCACAATGTCCGGATTTCCAAGCACACAAACAACCTTCAAATTATCTCTTTATGCCTCCTGTCTCTCCTCTTCTGTACAGAAGAATGAGAATAACAAGAAGTCTTTGTAACGGTTGTTGCAAGATAGTATAAAGAAAGAAAAGATCAACCACTGCAACAACCCTTACAAAGACTTCCAGCTTATGATGGCTCAAAGACTCTTTACACTTCCCGTCTTGCTCTTGTTTTTCTTCAAGAATCAACCACGGCATGAAACTAAGAAGTGAAAGTTTCTTGTTTATTTTCTACAGAGATATCATCTAGTCATTAGAAATGAAGGAAGAAGATAAAGACCAAGAAACTGGACTTGAGTCTCAACTAGCTTCATGTTTTTCTTCCTCTTGCAAAACTCTTGTTCTTCCTTCTAGGCCTGGCTATGGAAAACTTGGGACAAAGTGTCTTGTCAAAGCTAATCACTTTCTTGCAGATATATCAGTATCTGACTTGAGCCAATATGATGTCAGTCATTTACAAATAACAAAATTGCGGTTACGCTGCGAACCTTGATATTGCGGCGAAATGCAGCCGCGATTGTGGTTGCGGAGACCTCTAGAACTTTTATATTGCGACCACAATTGAAAATTTTTGCTAAGTTATCATGTGTGTTTTATGAAGGTTGTTATAACTCCTGAAGTTAACTCTAGAAAAACAAGAAAATCTATCATAGCTGAGTTAGTGAAGCTTCATCGAAACACTGAGATGGAAAAGAGACTTCCAGCTTATGATGGCTCAAAGACTCTTTACACTTCCGGTCAGCTTCCGTTTACACAGAAAACGTTCGATATACTATTGAGCGAGGAGGATGAGAGAACTTGTAGTACAAGGTGATTGATTATTATTCAAGAAAAAAACTAAGTAAATTTTTTTTCAAATTTTGAAATAAATATGAGTTGTAAATTTTGTGTTCAGGGAAAGAAAATTTGAAGTTCAAATCAAGTTTGCAGCTCATGTTAGCATGCATCAGTTACATGAGCTTCTCAGTGGGAAAAAAGTTGATACTCCACATGAAGCTCTTAATGTCATTAACATTGTATTGAAGGAGTTTGCATCTCATAGGTGCATTTTTTATTTGTTCTTTCAAGTTTTAACATATATCTTTCTATTATCGTTTCTTACACGTTTGGGGGATTATCCTATACTCCGAATTTAAGAAACTCGCATTCGCTGAGTGGTGGTTTGGAATCATGGCGCGGTTTCTATCAAAGTATAAAGGCTACTCAGAAGTCAGATGGGATTATCACTTAATGTTGGTGAGAGTTCTAGTCAATCTTCGAACTCGGGTTCTTCACATGATTTATCCTAAATTGAAGCTGCATTTCAATGATTTTCTTCTGATTTATTTTTTCTGACAGACATTATTGGAATACTATTTATTAATAGTCATTTTATTGCTGTATATAAGGATATAGCTTAGATAGAATAACAGAATATGATTCTGTTATTCTATCTAAGCTATATCCTTATATACAGCAATAAAATGACTATTAATAAATAGTATTCCAATAGACATGTCATCCACGGCGTTTATCGAACCACTCCCTGTGATTGACTTTGTAGCTCAAGTATTAGGAAAACATGTGCACTTAACGCCATTGCCAGACGCAGAACGCATCAAGGTAAGAAATTTATTTTACTATGGCAACAACTAGAATTCATTGCTTTCAGTTATTAGGTAAAATCATCTTCAAAAGTTAAGCACTAGTTTCTGACTCAAGCAGACTAAGAAAGCCTTAAGAGGTGTGAAAGTAGAAATTACATATAGAGGAAGTGTGAGAAGGAAGTACAAGATAACAGGATTGACATCACAACCTACAAGGGAACTCATGTATGATTTTGTAGTTTTTGTCATTACAAAAAGTCGCGAATTTAACATATTTCACATTTGAAGTAATGGTTTTTTTTATCGTTTCCTTCGAATAGTTTCCCTTTGGATAAGCAAATGAACATGCAATCAGTAATTGATTACTTTCAAGAAAAGTATGAATATACAATCATGTATCCCCATTTACCTTGCCTTCAAGTAGGAAGCAAAGAGAAGTTGAACTATTTGCCTATGGAGGTATAAGCTTATGTTTTTGTTTGAATTTGTTCAAACTTTTTACTTTTTTTTTTTATATTCATTAAAAGCTTATGTGAATGTTGTACTAGGTATGCAAGATAGTTGGAGGTCAGAGATATTCAAAAGGGCTTAATGAGAAGCAAATAACTTCTCTGCTAAAGGTCTCGTGCCAGAGACCACATGGAAGGGAGGGTGAAATTCTACAGGTTATTGTCATTTTTTCGTTCGAGTCTATGAAGCACAAGCATTAGATATTATAATAATGTGGCAGACACGCCTACAATTTGAAGTGTCGTTACTGCATAGGTTTGAGTCAATTGTGAAATGAATAGCTCATGTATTGGTGTTGATCTTGTTTTTAACTGATAGACGATTCATCAAAATGATTATAACTGTAATCCTTATGCAAAGGAGTTTGGTATCAGCATAGACAACAAGCTTGCATCAGTTGAGGCTCGGGTCTTTCCTGCTCCTTGGGTGATTTTTCCTATTGTTGAATTCATCATTTTTTGTTATCTTTTGGCATTCTACTAATAATAGTAAATTTTGCCTCTTTCTTCATAGTTGAAATATCATGACACTGGAAGAGAGAACAAAATCCTGCCACAAATTGGTCAGTGGAACATGAATAACAAGGTTAGCTTTAGACAGACACAGATTATAGCTTGTTTTAAAAGTGGATTTTCATTCTTGTTATTTTAATGCAGAAAGTTATAAATGGAGGCAAAGTAACAAATTGGGCATGTATCAATTTCTCAAGAAATGTCCAAGAAAAACTAGCTAATGCATTTTGCCAAAACTTAGTTCAGGCGTGCCAAATATCAGGCATGGTAAAGTCTTAAATTTTGGTTTTATCTTACAACTTTTTATTTTTAGTTTTATAACCATGTTAGAGGTACGAAGTATACACCGTTGTTTATACATAATTTTTCTATCCTTTCACAGGAATTTAGTCAGGAACCTGTGATTCCTGTATATTCATTCAGCAAGACCAGACATGGTTAAGAAAGCCTTGGAGCATGTATATTTTGTTTCCCGAAATAAACTTGGTGGGAAAGAGCTCGAGTTGCTCATTGCTATTCTTCCTGACAGAAACGGCTCTCTCTATGGTACGACGCTAAAAAATTCTAAGAAATTTCTTCTTCTAGCAAATCTGCTTCTTCTGATCTTTATCAGAAAACATGTGGCGAACACTTGTTTTTCACATTTTGTGCTTGCGCCTGAAGAAACAAATTCTTGCTGCAGGTGATCTTAAAAAAATCTGCGAAACAGATCTCGGGCTGATTTCCCAATGTTGTCTTACAAAATACGTATTCAAGATTGGTAGACAGTATTTGGAAAATATAGCATTCAAGATCAATGTCAAGGTTTGTAATACGAAATTTAAACAATCGTTATCACCTTAGTTTCTTTCTACGTTGGAACAATCACTTCTATATTTCCATTTTTCACTTAATGTTCATTTTCTTATATAAATGCAATGTATACTCTAGATGGGAGGAAGGAACATAGTACTTATGGATGCGATGAGTTCCAAGATTCCATTGGTTAGCGACATTCCAACGATAATTTTTGGCGCTGATGTAGCTCATCCTTAAAACCAGAGGATGTTTGTCCATCCATCGCAGCTGTAAGCATTTCCAAACTCCTATAACTGATAGCACCCGTCCTAAGTTTGATCTATTGTGATTATTGTTATTCAGGTTGTAGCCTCGCAAGATTGGCCAGGGGTGAGCAAATATGCAGGATTGGTATCTGCTCAGACTCCTAGCGAGGAACATATTCAAGATCTTTTCAAATGTTGGAACGATCCACAGCATGGGACCGTTTATGGCAGCATGATCAGGTAACTTAGCAACACATTTGCTAAAATCAAAATTTTGCGGGCTTATTTGGATTATAACATTCTGTGCTGCTGCAGAGAGCTCTTGCTCTCATTTAAGAAGGAGGCAGGAAAAAAACCACATCGGATAATATTTTACAGGGATGGGGTAGATGGACAGAACTGTGATTATTAATGCAGGAGTTGAAACATTTCTAACTGGTTAATGTAGGTACCGTGGTGGATTCAAAGATATGTCATCCTACGGATTTTGATTTCTACTTGTGCAGTCATGCAGGAATTCAGGTATGACAATGACATCTACGTCGTTACGTTTGGAAGAATACGATAGTATTGGATTGGATTAACTAACATTAATGGAATTTTCAGGGTACAAGTAGGGCAGCTCATTATCATGTTATATGGGACGACAACAACTTCAGTGCCGATGAGATTCAGTCTTTAACTAACAACTTGTGCTACACGTATGTAAATAAACTCTTTCATCTCAAAAATATATTTCTCTATTCTTTAGATGAAATAATCTCGTCATGTTTTGATGACAGTTATGCGAGATGTACGCGGTCTGTTTCTGTAGGTAAATTTTTGTTTCTTGTTTGAAGACAAGTACATGAAAATTTCTATATATAGGATTCTGATTCAAATGATGTGTGCAGTGCCTCCTGTGTATTATGCGCATCTGGCAGCTTACAGAGCTAGATTCTACATGGAATCTGATCCATGAAAATGCAAAATCACATGCTACAAGAACGAATATCGAGTCGGTCCGGCCACTACCAGCTCTAAAAGAGAAGGTCAAGAAAGTAATGTTTTACTGTTGAATGAGGAGTGCAGTATATGATGGTTTCCAAGTAGAGATGCTGCCGTGTATGTAGGAAAAGGGAATTGATTGTAGGTGAGAAATTTAGTTCAACCTAACCCAACATGTTCAGATAGTATAATACTCTGCTTGGAAATTATTGACACAGCCTAGTTTTAGTTTCTTTGGCTTTCTAGTCATTAACCAAAGGTAATGTTGAAATTATTGGCTGCTTAAAGACGATTATTATCTTAACCTTATAGGCTTCAAACTTTGAGAAGTATGTGCAGGACGGGATCAAAATGGTTACGACATTCATCATTTCGCAATTGGTTAGAAAATCTGCCATTCTCTCTTAAAGCATACAAACGATTCCTTAACTCTGTTCTTCATCAGTTAATATTAGGACCTTACCATCTCAATAAAGCAACACTTTGTTCTTTGCGCGTTATTTGGACCTTACAACTCTAAATAAAACGTTTTTGACTGTCACACACATTGAAATTTGATAGAAGTATTACACAAGACAAAGTTTCTTACTTTTCTCTCTTTATTACGGCACACGTTAGATACTTTATTGGATTAAAAATGCGTTGAAATAATGATAATCAATGGAACAGTTAAATATATTACATTTTATAACATAATGAAAATAAAAAATTATCTTATTTATTTAAAAGCATTTTTGTAATGAACCAAATTTATACACATACTTTAATTTTTAGAGAATGTTCTTATTTAATTAAATTATAACATATAAAAAAATTATATTAGTGTATGTGTCTATATTTTTTAAATTAACAATGTCAATATCTCTTACTTTAATTTTTAGAGAATGTTCTTATTTAATTAAATTATAACATATAAAAAAATTATATTAGTGTATGTGTCTATATTTTTTAAATTAACAATGTCAATATCTCTATGCCGGATGCGGTCATTTTTATGCTGGTGTTGTTTGTTTAAATTAACAATGAAATCATAACTCATAATTTATTTAAAACTAATTCAAATATTGCAACATAAGTGAATAAACCACACATGGTGTGTTGAATTATTGACACTAGAAGGAACATGTTTTTATATTAGAGTATTAGACCACCATGAGTCCGCGATTAGTGGAAACCCAGAATATCCCTACGAAAATACTGAATAAGATGAAAAGTAATTCCTACATTTAGTCAAAATAGAGATCTATTGTTTTCCACTTCTCAAACATTACATGCTTTTGATTTCTCAAATACGCCTAACCTTTTACAGAGTAGAGTCCATTGTTTTAAAAACTAGTATATACACAAAAAATCATCACAATTGGTCTTAGCGTCATTAATATCGACATGAGCAATAAATTAACATTACAACTGAAGCTATTTGTGCAACATCAAGACAATCTAATACCACAGGATTTGCAGTCAAAATTCAGTCAGGTATTGAAGAGAAGGCTACTGATTCTCTTCTGTTAAAAATAAAGCAGCACCGCAGTATAACATATATAGATCTCGGAAACAAATGAGAGAGACTAAAAACATACAACAATTTCAAAGCAAATTTAACGGTGAAAAATCCCAACTAGGTGTAAAAATTCCCAGTTTAGATGACAATATCCAAAACACTGAATAATCTTGTTGATTCTAAGAATCTAAATGAGAAGGAAAAAGGAAAACAAAATCAATAAAGAAGTTAACTTCTAAAAACTGTATTATCCTTATAATAAACAACATTTGCCAACAAAATTCAAAATACCCTAAGGAACGAAAACAAGTGGAATATGAAATTAAACTAATTTGAACAACTACAATTTGAACAACCCTCTACTAATTGAACTGGTTTATTAGTCTAAATCACACTGTGAACACGAAATGAAGACAAGGTCATTCTTCTAACAAAGTACTCAATTGAATGCCAAAACATGTTCAAGAGAAAGGAAATTGCTAAAAGTAGTCACATTAAATGAGCCTCGCATTCTGGATCTTGAGGGTCTGCTCCCCTCAAGGTCTCAGGTTCGAATCATGCTAGGCACAAATTACTTATTAAAAAAAAAATGAACCTCACATTCTGGATTGCTGTACACAAAGCATGTTGTGCATCAAACTGTAATGAGGATAAGGAAAAACATTTTAGCAATGGGAGCAACAGTGACTACAAGTTTTTTGTTTTTTATATATAAATTCTGTAGCAAGCAGGCAAGATAACTATATAATGACTGAATAACAGAGAAATGAAACTGTTCCAACATTTCAAAATACTAATTTACATTTGCTATCTCTTCTTTCTTTCGGAAATGTTTTGTTGTTGTTACCATCCAAAACCAATATGTTGACATTTCTGAATGATATTTCAAACGTATCTGCTATGTAGTAGTGTCAATTGGATTTCGAATATGACAGGACAAATAATTATATAATACCACGCCTATTGGAAACACGTCATACTCATACTCATATACTCATACTCATACTCATATACTCACACTTCCCACGTGGATTGCTAGAGGCAAAACAAGTTTTACACTTACCCTTGCCTACAAACAAGCATAAAGTCTGTTCCATATGCAAAACACAGCATACACCAATAGTTTCTCATCTTATACCTGCCATTTCATGATTCTAAGACACTATATTTCGAATCATTACGAAAATAATACCTCGTGCTATATAAAATTTTCCTAATGTTGTTAAGAAAAGACAACATTCATAGTTCATTACACCTTAAACACCAAATCAAGTACTAACTAGAAACAAATAACAATACAAAATACTCATAAAGAAGCAAGTTTACCCTTTACTTCACTCTCATCTTCCAAATCACCATCACCAACAAAATCACTCTCAATATCAGCCTGCTTACTCACCACCACAGCCTCCCGTTGTTGCGAACCACTCCCAGTCACCGATTGCTGATAAAGAACTCCTCCAATTATAGTAAAAAGCAAACAAATCAAACCCGCCGGACTAGCATGCTTATCCCAAATCGTCACATTAATCGCCACAGTTAGAAACTTATTCACAACTCCAGTAACTGTAAAAGCAGTCGCCGAAACCGCTTTCCTCGCAGCAAATCCAAAGAAACTAATAAGCAAACCAAACACACAAGACAAAGCCACCGCAAGAACCGCATTCAACTCAAACAAACTCCCGGTACTCGAATTAATGGCATTCGAAACCTCAAAATTCTCCCCGGTAAGAAACCAAAAAAACGGAGCAATCATCAAAGACAATACATTATTATAAAGAACAAAACCCCAAGTATTCAAGCCAAGACTCATAACCATATGCTTAATATAAACCATCTCAGTAGTAATCGTAACCAAATAAGCAAAAGCCCAAGAATAAGCAGTCAGAGTAAAACCCGAATCGGTAGCAACGTAACCAACAGCACCAGCAAGAATAACAACAAGCGAGAAAAAAGTGAGATTAGAAGGCAAATTTTGACCTCGAAAAGCTGTATCGGCGAGAGCAACAAGGAGAGGAGTAAGAGATCTGAAAACAATGAAGGTATCAACGTTAGCGTGACGGAGGAGATTGGTGTTGGTGAAGATAGCGAGGAAGAAAACGAGTGCGGCGGGGAAGAATTTCTTGGCGATCGGGAAAGTGAAAGGATCGTGATGAAGAAACCCTAATTTTCCGAGAAGGTAAACGCCGAGAGATGAAGTGAGGTACTGGAGACCGGTTAAGAGACCGGGGTAGTTGAACTGTGTGATGGCGTATTTGTTGATTATTGCTAGCAAGCTTGAGCAGAGAGCGTAACCGATTACTAAGCCGCTTGTGGCGTAGTGCGGTTGTTTTGTTGATGATGACATTGTTGCGGCTTTTTTCTGTGAATTTGGGATTCGAGAATGGTGTGAATGTGAATGAATTGGTTCAAGATGAAGTGGATCACCGACAGTTGAAAAATGGTTTTTTTTTTTTTAGGAGGAAAATGGTGTGTGTCAGAGAAGGTGTAAATTGGGAGCGGAGAAAATGAAGAGGGAAAGAAGATTTTTTCTTCTTTGTCCTCACTTCATTATTGTTACTACTACTGTTCAGAATCAGACTGTATCACTATCAATCAACCCCAATTAGTGATCCTAGTGCTGTTTGGATTTTTTTTAAATGGAGAGGAACTGAAGTAAAAGGAATATATATTAAAAGAACGAAAATAGTAAATAGGAAGTAAAGAGAAAGAGACGTGTTTTAGTTAGTATTAGAATTGTAAATGATGACATAAAATGCCTATAATAAAATAGGTCAATTTTTTTTTTTTTTATATTATATTCATGACTATAATAGATTATATTTCTATTAAAATATAAGTTTAAATGCAGTTTTGATCTCTTATTTATATTTTTATAAATTTTTGAGTTTTAGTTTTTAAAATTCAGCATTTTAATCCTCAAACATATTTTTTGTCATTTTTTTAGCCCTCTTCAGAAATGCATATGTGACATATAAAAATATTAAGTTGTTCAAAACTTTGGTGCCACGTATTTTAAGTAAAATTCTCTCTTGTCCTAAGTTTATTTTATATTACTCTAATCCTTTCCTGCCATAATCCTCTCTTTCTCCCAACGATCTTCCTCCTGTAAACCATATCGTCTCTTGCCCTAATCCTTTCCTGGAGAAATCCTCTCTTGCGCAACGATCTTAGTTCTTCAGATTGGTTCGTTCTTCCATCGTTCTTCAGCTTCGTTCGCTCTTGAAATCCGTTCGTTCTTCAGCTTCAAAGATCTTCATCTTCCACCGTTCTTCAGCTTCGTTCGTTCTTCAGTTACCATATCTCAGTATTCTGAAGCAAGTAGTCGAACCAAGTCTCCCTCCGTCTATGGAGAATGTAGATGTGGTCTCGATGCACCGTTGATGACGTCATGGACTGATGCTAACCCAGGACGTCGTTTTTACGGGTATGAAATGTACAAGGTTATAAGCTATCAAAATTTATCTAAATTTCATCTGTAATTTTCACCAGTTATCACTGAGAATTGTTGTAAATTTCTTCTGTAAATTCATGTAGACTCAGGGGTATAAGTGATGCAATCATTTTGTTTGGTATGATGAAGAGATGTGCCTTAGAGCAAAAGACATGATTTCAACATTGAACCAGAGACTGAATATTGCAGAGCTCAAAATTGATGTAGGGAAGATCCAATAAGATGAATTGAACAGGAAGATCAGGAATTTGAAGAATGAGATCAAGTATTTAAAGTTATCGATTGTTATAATTGTTGTGTTGGTAGTAGGACTAGTTGTAGGAATTTTAATGAATTAGGATGTCAAATGTTGTTCAACGTTTTGTCTCAGTTTGTTCCAAATGTATCAGTTAATGTAATATCATTGTTGTTCCAAATGTATTTTCAGTTTGTTATATCAAGATTTATATTAATGTTGTATAATATCTTGTTCCAATTGTATCAGTTATATCAATGTTGTTCCAAATGTAATTTCAGTTTGTTATATCAAGATTTATATGAATGTTATATCATTTTGTCTCTTCCTGTATCAGTTATATCAATACTGTTCCAAATGTATCAAGATTTATATGTTCATTATAGGTCATCTTGAATGGTTTCTTATATCCTACAGATAACAGATCAAATTTATTTGAAGTTACAGATAATAGATAATAGTTTGTTATATCCTACAACCAATTTATTAATGCTTTCATGACAGATAACAAAATGTACCAAAATAACAACACAGATTAACCATAAAACTTGTTCATTAATCATAATACCATAATAACATTACAACTTAACCATGGTATTTGTTCATTACTGGTTAACCAAAAGGTACCCAAACTAACAAAAGATACTTGATCATTGCTCATAGTGCTTGAGCATTACATTACAAAAGGTACTCAAACTAACAACAAATATTTATAAAAAAACTACTACTGAGATGGTTGTGTAGGTGGAGGGGCTTGTGATGAGCTTCTAATCTCAACTTGAGTTGTTTTTTCTTCTTTCCTTGGCCACCCTTTTTAGACTTCTTGTTATTTCCACTTTTTGGAATGGCTCGTTCAGCAACCTTCTTTCCCTTATAACTTTTTTGTTGTGACCCATTTCTTCACACTTATGACATGTGACAGTTTCCAGTCTTTTAGGAAGGACATGCAGATTTTTTAGTTCATCGTTAGCCTTGTTTCTCATTTTATTTGGATGACCTATAGCCCTTCTCATAACAGGTGAATTCATAATGGACTGCTCATTCAAAGGTCACAGTTATGGACCATTAGTAGGTTAAATAATGTGTAAGTAAATGTTCTTGAAATTATTCTTCCTGCAAGTCAGATTTCAAGCCAGGTTGCAATTAAACATAAATCAGTCAGATTGCCATTAACATAAACCAGTTAGTGTTTAATTGATACCTGTAATATTGAGAAACACATTCTTCAGGTTTTCTCTTGATTTTCCATATACATGTGATAGAATGACTGCAAGGGATGCCAATTAAATCCCATTTCCTACATGCACAAGTATGTTTCTTTAGATTAACAACATATGTGTCTCTTCCATTAGTAACACCATATAGTGTCATATCATCATCACCATGCCATGTAGAAGTCCAATGATCTACATTATTCTCGTTCTTTTCAAGCACCAGTTCTATTCTAGAGAATATGTCACCACTGTAGTTACTCATGACTTCCTTTTGCTTAGTTATCCTCTTAATAATGTAGTGCTTAATTCCTTTCAACAAAGTGATGATTGGCTTATCACTGTATTATATAATATCCCTATTAAAATCCTCACACATGTTGTTTACCTGAAGATCACATTTGGAATATATTTTGAAGTGAGATCGGCTCAAATAATGTGCAGGGATATCCACCATTTCCTTCCATGCATATGGTTTCATACTCTTCATCTTTGCCATTTCCCTTTCCCATTCTAGTACAGTTGTTTCTCTTGCTGCGCTCCACATAACCTTTTTGAATTCAAGCCCAAGATTTTTCTTCTTCCAATTCCCATATAGGTGCTTTGCATAAAGGCGTTTCTTAACATGAGCGCTCACACTTTGAATTACTGGTACCAATCCCTAATATACAAACAAGATAATTACAATGTTACAAACAAGACTAATGATTAATTGCAAGTCAGAAAATAATAACTAGAGCATTACCTTTTGTTGGTCAGAAATAAAAACATAAGATCTTTTGTTTATAGCTTCCAAGTCTTCCAATAGAAGTTTGATGTACCAATCCCAAGAATCCTTTGTCTCAGCTTCCACAACCGCATAAGCAATAGGAAAAATCTTATTGTTTCCATCTCTTCTAACAACACCCATCAATTGCCCTCCAAAATCACCCTTCAATAAGCAGGCATCCAAACTAATCAATGGCCTACAGTAATTTGTAAAACCATATTTACAAGCCTCTAGACATACATAAATCCTTTCAAACACATGGCCTTCATTTGACTGAGAACATCTTATCACAACACTGCTATTAGGGTTAGATTTCAGTAACTCTTGGGCATAACTTCTCAAATGGTTGAATTGATCCATAAAAACACCTTGTAACAAATCTATAGCCTTTCTTTTAGCTCTATATGCCTGATCATGTGACAACTTCACTCCCCATCTACCAATAGCTTGAGCAATCAATCCCGTTGGCTTCATATCAGGGTTGTGTCTTAGAATGTTACCAAACTGCTTAGCTAAATACGTAGTCTTTGCTTGCCTGTTATTTGGAGTTCTAGAATAGTTGTGTTCATCAACTAAATTAACTACTTGCCAAAATTGATTCCCAACCCTTTAACTAACCCTCATGTGAAAATTGCAGTCTTCTATACATTTCATCACCATCCTTTTTGCATAATTTTTCTTAATCTAAACATTTTTTTTCATCTTCAAAGCATAGTCTGCCACAACCTCATGAACCTTTTCTTTGTTATTAAAAACCATACCTAACTCAAACTTCGAGGAGTCACTTTTAAAAGAAGGAAACTTATCTTGTTCCTCATCACTACAACTCTCATTAGGTGTATGCAACACATCAAAATCAGGATCATCCTCAGAATTTATAGCCTTATCACCAGCATCATCATAATGAATGACAGTTATCCAATCCAAATCTACATGCTCTTTAACATTCTCACTTTCAGCATCATGCTCGTTATCCTCATGACTAGAACTACTTATCTCACCCTCACTTACAATATAGTCATCATCATCATCACCGTCATCCATTCTAATAGGTTTACTTCCAACTTCAACTTTAGCCTCAATAGGTTTACTTCCAACTTCAACTTCATCCTCAATAGGTTCACTTCCAACTTCAACTTCAGCCTTAATAGGTTCACTTCCAACTTCAACTTCAGCCTCATCATGATTACTTGTAATTTCAACATCAGAGTCAACTTCATCATCAACATAGTTTAGACAGCCATCAATATTATCCTCAACATGAGTCACTTCTATTGAGTGCTCAACATACACATCCACCAAATTAAAACCCTTAATATCCTCTGCCAACTTAAGAACATCACTATCACAATTTAGGGGTCTAAGGCCACGGCTAAAACTATACTTGGGGTTCCAATACCACATACACTTGATATTCATATATCCCTCCTCCTTTATCATATTTTCTAAATCCATATACGACATGTAGTCTGTATCGCACTTCAAATCCAATTCATACACTAATCCATCAACATACCATTTAACAGGACTTTCTACTAAATTTCCCATATGATGAAATCTTATCTTAATGCAATGATTTTGAGATGGTCTAAATAAATAACAAAATTTGCATCAGAATACCGTATAAAACATGGTGAAAACAAGATGAGGAAAGATAACGAGTTCAAAGAGCATACCTCATACAGAAACGAACATATTTTTTTCTTATCGAACACGGTGTAATTGGTGGAATGTTCCTCATCTTCGTTGTTGCATGGACGAATGGTGGAAGATGAAGATCTTTGAAGAATGAATCTGAAGAACTAAGATGAAGAGGATTTAAGGTTTACAGTAGGAAGATCGTTGGGAGAGAGATTATTAGGGCATGAAAGGATTAGGGTAATAGAGAATGAACTTAGGGCAAGAGAGGATTTGGCTTAAAATACATGGCACCAAGGATTTTAACAGCTCAGTATTTTTATGTGCCACATATGCATTTTTGGAGGGGAGCTAAAAAAATGTCAAAAAACAGTACGTTTGGGGACTAAAATGCTGAATTTTGAAAATGAGGGTTCAAAAGTTCATAAAAATGTAAATAAGGGGGTCCAAACTGCATTTAAGCCTAAAAATGTATTATTCTTCTTCTTCTTTTTATGGTAATATGTACTTTCATTTTTATCGTTGACAGCTAATATATGATTGGAGATCAATTTATTTCTGAAAAATAATTATTTTTTGAATTACCTTGTTTAATAGCTCTTTATAAACATTAATTTAAGTAGATAAAAATATATTAAACACAAAACAGTTCTTCAAATACAAGACGTACGAGAAGAATTACAAAAAGTAAGTTACAACATCATTCAGATCAAAAAGACAATAACACGACCAAAAACTCAAACTAAACGACAAAACTTGTAATATATTGAAACAAATTAACTCTCCAAATCTGATAATCAAATTCAAAAACTGGCAAGTAAGATTTCAACCACAAGAAATATTGGAGTTTCACATTTTCACAAAAAGTTATCAACAACAGATTCTTATTCTGAAAAACTTGTTGATTCTTCATTTTCTAAACTACCCACACTACAACTATCCAAATAATATGAAAGACATATTTGTAATTTTTAGCCCACTCACTCAAAGAAACAAATTGATCATGATGATCCCAACAGTGTCCCTGAAAAATCAACGAAAATCCTAACCAACCAGACAACAATGGGCCAAAGTTTACCAAGAAAATCACAACGAATATCAAATGCTCTCGGGTTTCATTCTGACTACACGCAATTGGGTAAGTTTAATCCTCTGCTAATATAATATTTCTCCTAACCAAGTTATCCTTTGTCGGTAGTCTATTACAATATAATCGATAAACAAAAAAGTTCACCTTGAGCGGCACTACTTTTGTCCACCAAACATGAGATTCTCCTTTACGTTGAGCATCCACCGACTTCATTAAGAAATGATACGCACTACTCACATTATAACGATTTGAGGAATGAAGTCTCCACACCCAAGTATCATCAACAGAGTCCTGCAAAACAATAGAATCCAATAACAAAATACATTCCCCCACTAATTCTTTCTCCCACGCAAACAACCTCCTACACCACCTCCAAGCCTCTCTATCCACCCCCACCCTAGGAAAAACATGTATGTTATAGTTGCATCCTTATACACAGATAACTTATAAAGTCTACTTAATCTAGACATGAACACCCCTCAGTCCAACCAAGGATCTCCTCAGAACAGAGAATTAACCTCATTATCTACTAAGGGATCAATATTACTGAGCAACCACCCCCTGTCAAGCATCCCAACCCCTTGTCTAATCCGATTCACATTCTGCCACCATACATATCCTCTTACTACATCATACCTCAACCGCCCCTTCCTCCCAATAACGATGAGTTAATACCCTATACTAAAGACTATCCCTCTCCTCCAACATCCTCCAACACCATTTCCCCAATAAAGCCACATTAAACCCCTTTAACCTTCTCACCCAACCACATCATTCTCCTTACTCAAACAAATTGCATCACAATCAATCAACGCTATTTTCCTCTTGTATTTCGTACCTCCTCAAAAGAAAACATTAAATAAAAATTCAAGAGAAGAAATGATACATGTCGGTACTTTGAAGAAAGAAAAGAAATAAATCGAAATAGAAGATGGAACAAATTCTCAACATTAACTCTTTGTAAACATTAGATTTCTTAAATTCAAATGTTGAATGTTTTTTTAAAACTAAACTGTTGAATGTTTTGATATTACTTTAATGATCATACATATAAAAAAATCATAAAATCATATTTCTGTAGCTATAAGATATTATAGACAATATTTTGTTTATTTTAAAATCATATGATAAGTTGAATTGAACTTTTTTGATAGCTTATCTAATATTTTTTAATTTTTACAAACATTATAGATTTGATATACTCAATAAGAGCTATTAGTTGACGACTGAATTGATGAAATTTAATGTCCATACAAAGTTGTTAAAGAGGGTAACTCAAGTAAAAGTTACTACTTGAATAAGTTGATCCTCACTCTACACACACGAAGGTAGTAGCATCAACTACAAGAATGAGACTAAAACCCGATGAAGGAGAGGCATGAACAAAAAAAATACATGTTAGATGGGGCACCAAACTTGGGCATGAAAAGAGAAAATTTGTAGTACTTGTTGGTATGAGTTTTGAAAAGGTTAATGTAGATGAAAGAATCAATGTGGCAAATTAAATCGTTGAACTTTTTTTTAATAGCAACGAAGATGTGTATGTTGATGGCATGGGGTTCTGCTTGAAGAATGTTTTAAGATCAGGTCAATATCTAGATAAGCTCCAAAAGAGTTGTAGATGATACTAATATAACCTCCACTAGTAGAGGTTCCAGTTTAATTTATATCAACTTTTATGATAGTGCAATGGTGGTTGACTATGTTGTATTAAATGTGTCTCTCCGTTTATGTGTCCACGTTAAGGATTACTGAAATAATTAGGGAACGTGTCCTTCATGTGACGAGTTTCTAAGGTAAGGCGATACAAGAAGATGGCTTTCTGAGTGATATTGGTAGAGATTTTGATTCTCTAAATCCATTGAATTACTTCTATAAAATTATTATTGCGGCCATATGACATGCCATTTATGAGTTAATTATTAACATACTAATTTATCCAGAATGTGAATTTTTTTTCCGGGATGTGAATCTTTCTTATCCAGAACTAATAATGTTATCAAGTTGTGTGTGATTAGTGGTTTTTGTCACTTTTTTTTAAGGAGTCGCAGGTAGACATTTTTTGTTTTGTAGTTTTCATTAGCGTGATCGATCAAATGAAGAAGTCTTCAGTATTATTTTTGAAGATGAGATTATTGCTAGTAACTTTAGAGGTAACATTTAGGGGTAGTTTGATATACATGAGGTTGAGGTAAGGTGATCTGATTGAGAAAATTTCTTTCATAATTAGAGGCGGACTATGAAAATCAACATAAAATAATGGGAGCAACCAAACAAATAGAAGACCGGTGATTATACCAGAACGACGAAGGCCCAAAACCCGCCATTTAAACAAAATCATCTCATATTTTAGCATTATTTTAGCTTGAGAGCCAACATTAACAATGTGAGATAAAATGTGAGCACCATATATATACTTATTAGAGAGAAAATCAATTTAGAGTTTAGGTGTTACTTGCAGCATGTTTCATACTGCATTACAGGGATAAAAATGTTGACATCCCTAGTTGTTTAGACTCTCATACCACCCCTTGTTTTCAAGGCGCACAATCTTATTTATATTCACCAAGTTGATGTCAATGTCCTTGTTTCCTTTTTAGATGAAGTTACAAGTCATTTAGTCTATTTCACCCATGCTTTAAGAGAGAGATATGTTTTATGTAAAACCCTAATTTTTCTTGAATTATTATAACGAAAATCATAGTAAATTAAAACTTCACTCAATTAAGTTGTCACATTCATCAAACAACAACCTACTCTTATTATAGTAATATGTAACACATACAATTTTTAAAATTATTAATACTAATAAATAATAAACTCCATCAAATTTAACTTCATTTTATTGCAATGGAAATATCAATTAAATATTGAAATACTTATTCATAAATAATTCATTTTATAAAATAATTATAAAATTGTAACATAAGAGATATCACAAAATCTCTAATAACATAGCATAACAAATCAAGCGTTCTATCCCCAATGTTACATATCAGAGCAGACACTGACATCGACGAAAACAACAAAGAAGAGCACTCTCTTCTAAACTCATCCACACCTTCACTGCGGATCACCTGTGCGTTATCCACGTGGAGGCAACATTCAAAGAGAAAGGGTGAGATATCACAATAATATAAAGGAGTGCATAATAATAAGTGGATAACAGATTATTGTTAGAATTAATTTAGATTTTATAATTAATTAGATATTAATTTATATTTAGGAATATATTTTAGATCTTCTTATATCTTTGTTAGAAGATATATTTTAGATTTAATTTTGTGTATAAATAGTCTAGTGGAGTAGGTTATTACAATTCATTGTAAATTCTTATTTTGAAGCTGTCAGTAAATATTCTTTTTTTCTTTTATCTTTTCCCTGTGCACCAACAATTGGTATCTATAGCTCCTGGTTAGAAACTCTTGAATTTGGGAAACATTGTTTTTTTCATTGAGTTTCTGCGTAAATTGAACAAGATAGAAGATGAATAGAACCGGCAGCGATATTCATTCCAAGCTTCCAGTATTTGATGGCAAAAACTGGAATCGTTGGAAGATCCAGATGCGCGTGTTATTTGGTTCTCAAGATGTGTTAGATCTTGTCACCGATGGCTATAATCTGTTAGAAACTGACGCAACAGAGGCACAAAAGGCACTGAGGAAGAAATATCAAAAGGCGTTGTTCTACATCCATCAATGTGTGGATGCTAATGTGTTTGAGAATATTGTTGATTCTGAAACAGTGAAGGTTGCATGGGACACACTGGTCATATGTTATGGTGGTGGCGCATCAGTGAAGAAGATGAAACTTCAGTCTC